CAGATAAAGAAACAATCCAAGGTACAGAGAGGTTAAGTGCCTCATCAAGGTCACAGGATAGGACTCAAACCCAAATCCCCCACTCAGACTTAGCTCACAGCTCTGTTCACAAAACTAAACATCAACAGAAATCCAAACCAGGTTAGACAAATAAAAAAATGAATAAGTAAGCTTGACTTAGTTATGACTGAATCTCATCTTTCAAAAGTCACAATCCAAGATGGAAGTTCTTCAAAATATTACCATTAGAACTACCATACAACCCAGTAATTGCACTTCTGGGTATTTATCCTAAGAAAATAAAACACTAATCTGGAAAGGTATATGAACCTCTATTTTTATTGCAGCATTATTTACAATAGTCAAAATTTGGAAGAAATGTAGTTGTCCATCAATAGATGAATGGACAAAGAAGATGTGATAGATATATGAAATGGAATATTACTCAGCAAGGAAAAATAACAAAACCCTGCTATTGGTGACAACATGGGTGGACCGAGAGTGAGAGAAGCCCTGTCCTGCAGAGTCCTCCCAGTTGTCATGGATAAAGAAATAAATTGTACTAGACACGATTTGCCTATTGGGAAAAGGGGGTGGTGATTCTCTTTAGTGGAGAATGTCCTGAGCCCTTCTCTGAAATGACTTTTATTGAGAACAATATGTGTAGGGGTATATAGAATATGTGCATGCAAAGCTTATCAATCTACATCAGAGGGCTATAGATAACAATAAAAGGAACACACAGGCCAGCCTTGGGTTAAGGTCTTTTAGAAACAGTGATGTCAGATGGTCATTAAGCCAAGGTTCAGGGGCTCAGGAATCTTTTCCCCTGCTTTGAGACTAAACACTTTTTCCTTATCAGGGCAGTGCAAAGCAGAGCAAGCTTCAGTAAATATAATGCACTCTTTAGGCCAGATCTCCCACTGGAACCCTTGGTGCTAGTATCGGGTCATGCATCTCCCAGCATTCCTGGTGTTCCAGTCGAGGCTTACAGGCAGGACCTAGCTCGGGTGGGGCTACAGTTCCTGATATCAACAAAGTGGTCCCCAACACTAGAAGGTATTATGCTAAGTAAAATAAGTCAGACAGAAAGGGAAATACAGTATGATTTTACTTATGTGTGGGATCTAAAAATCCTCACCAAACCAACCACCAACCAACCAACCAACCAACCAATCATCCAACCAACCCACCAAACAAACAAACAAAACAACGCAACACAGAAACGGACTCAGTCAGATAGAGAACAAATTTATTGTTGCCAGAGGAGAGGAGGGCGTGGGACAGGTGAAAGGGGTGAAGGGGAGTAAGAGGTACAAACTTACAGTTATAAAATAAGTCAGAGGGATGTAATGTATAACATAGAGAATATAGTCAATAATATTGTAATAATAACTTGGATGACAGATGGTTATTGACCTTACTGTGCTGTTCACATCATAAGGTATATAAATGTCAAATCACTGTGTATACACCTGGAACTAATATAATATTACATGTCAGCTATACTTTAATGAATCATAAATTAAAAACCAAAACAAAATACCCAAAACACACATAGCAGGCATCTGTTTGTATATTCTCAGGAGACTCCATTTCTCAGTAGGTTCTGCAGGGGAGGAAGGTGAGGGTGGTAAAAGGCACGGTGATTGTTGAAACCAAACTACACTCTGTCTCAAGGGAGGCATGATTGAATGCCACAGATGGGGATGGAGTAGAGTCTATAGAAAGCCAGGGGCTGGAACTGCAAAAGACTATAGACTGGGACAGAAAAGTTCCCTGGAGCTACTTCCAGAGAAGACACCAGATCCATCATGGGGACTTTTAAAAATATTCTTCAGGGAGAGAGCCTATTGTTTCCTTTTCCTTCTGGGAGAAGATAAGCTGATTTTGAGGATATAGCAAGATCTCCCCTTTCTAACATCCTTTTCCTCACCCTGCTCTCACTGAGAGAACTGTGGCAGTGTTTCCTGAAGCCTACAGAAGCTACACCGAGCATCACACTGAGGGGTGAGAGCGCAACGATGGTAAGGGCAGGCTGGGAGTACACGGGGAACAGGAAGGATCTTGGCACAAATGAGATGAGGGACAAGCAAAGCAGGGAGGGGCACTTATGCTGAGATAAGCTGGCTACCAGAGGGCTAGAACAGGGTCAAGGGGAGAGGCCATGTGAGCTGAGGCTGGCAGAGAAAACTGGAATAGCCAGGACAGAAATAAGACTGAAAATAGTAATCACTAAGGGGAATGCCCAAAGGCTGAGTGGAGCCCCCAAAAAGAAGAATATATTTAATATTTGAGGGAAATAGGTTAGGTTAGAAGGATGAGCCCAGAATGCATAAGGCACAGTGCATCTCTCATGCACCTCTCGTGCCCAAACAATATACCCTGGTCTCAGGGATTACCTCACCTCCTGATTCTCTTGTCTTCAATCAGTCTCATCCTTGGACATATGTACCTAACAGAAGACTGTCTTTCTATCCTCCTGAAATGCTTTATCTTTTACTTGCTTCAGATCCTCCTGTCCCACTATTATTATAAGAAACTCTTTTCTGCCACCCAGGCCTGTGCTCCTGTATTGTGCATTAGGGGCCACCTTAGGAAAAGCTTAGCTGAACAACCAGACCGGATTAGTCACATCTCCTTTGTCAGTACGGTTTGCTTCATTCCTACTTCACTTTCTGAACTCACATCAGTCATAGCTGCTGTAATAGTCCAGGGGGAATAAAGAGCAAACCTGAAATAGGGAGATGGAAAGGACAGGTCAGGTACACTCACTAATTAGATTTCAGCAACAAATAACTTTATCTTGGCGGTATGGTTCTACAGATGAAATCCTGGTATAAGAATTAGGAGATGTAAAATTTGTGCTAGATGTGCTACTAACTTTCTTCATGACCATTTGAGGACTCAGTTCCCTGAATATATTACTATAAGGTCCTCTTAGGATAAAGGTGTGGTCTACTAAATAGTTTACAACACTGACTAAATACTCCCTAGATATGGAACCATGTGCACTCTTCTGGGAGAGAAAGAAATAAATGACTCAGGCTTCCTTTTGTCATTTGCTGATATCTTGACTGTGGAGACAGGAAACAAACATAGGGCAATGGCATGTAAAGACTGGACAAATGCCAACCAGAGTGAAGGGAGTTGGGGTAGGAGAAGACCAGATAAGCAGAGTTGGAGTGTGAATGGAACTGGAGGTATATTTTAGTTGAACCTGGGAAGAAGGAAGGTTCATAGATTATTAAGCATTTTAAACAGAATAGGCTAGCTATGAGTCTGAGGTGTGGGGACAAATAAACTGAGGGCCAGGGACGTTGAAGGGAGTACCCAAGAAGTAAGGGACACAAGGGCACTCAGCAAGAGCAGACACCTGTTGTAATTGGAGAAGCACTTTCACTTAGGATAAGGTGACAGTATGTATAAGAGGATATTAATTCATTTATTCAGGAAATATTTAGGAAGTTTCTATATGGCTACTATGGATACTAGTGGCAGTGAATATTAAAAACATAGCCCTATTGTTATGGGACTTCCATGCTGTCTATCCTAAAGCAAAGTCTTAGAGAAAATGGACAGATAGACATTAGACGTGGAGGAGACATTTCTAAGATGGAGAGGACTTTTATTCTGATCCAAGTGAACGAAATTGATGGAAGACTTTTATGCAATTTCTGTTGGTGGAGGTGCCTAAAATTGGGCAATACTCATAAATCTCAGTTTGAATCATATGGTGGTATGTTATGCAAGAGTAGGAGAGAAGAATGTTTCTCCAGGAAGGGAGTCATTTATGCATTCATTTAAAAAGAACTCTGGTGTGCCATGTCCAGTAGTCTGTGAATACAGAAATGAATAAGTCACAGCTGTACTAAAAGCACTCACAGTCCTGTAAATGGACAGACATGTGCATTGGCAACACAGATCAAACTCTCCCAACTTAACTTAGTGGATGAACAAGTCTTCATTGAAAACACCGAGAAACTCTGCCTGGGGAAGTCTGACTGAGAAAGCTTCACGAAAAAGATGACATGATCTTGGCCAGGTATGGAAGGGGACAGAGGAAAGCATTCCAGATAAATTGTATGAGCTGCAAGCATGACTGTTTTAAGAAGTGGCAGAGCATCTAATGTGGCTGAACCTAGGATAAATATTTAAGGAGATGGTAAGAGCTGAGGTCAATAATTTAGGCAGGAACAAGTTTGTAAGCGTGTGGAGTGATTTTTTATTTTTCTTGTAGCAATGAAATCTCATAATGTGGTTCTACCACATTACAATCAGGTGGGAGTAGACTATCACTTTTTCTGAATGTCATGAATGCTGTGGAGGAAAGCAGGTGAAGGTAGAAGCATGCAGATATGGAAGCAAAACTAAAGTGAGGGAAATAACAATAGAACACATATTCTTAGGTTAGCCGGAGGTAGGGCTTCATGGTTTGATTTCCGAGTCAAATAAGGACTAATGGAAAAGCTGCTAGAGACAATCTATAGACCTTGGAGGAAAGTGAACTATTAATGCTATGCTTAATTATTTTGTATACAGCCAAACTTAGCATTTAGATACTCTTCTTTCATAATTAGAAGTGTAGCTTAAGTTAGGAGGAAACAGGAAGACAGCGAATGTTTTGGGGTAGATTTGAATTAGGCAGAGATCTATATTTTCTATGAAGCCAAACTTGACAATACAAAGACCACAGAAAGCTCTTCATCCACTCAGTTCCTTACTGAAGGCTGCTTTGTGATATTAGCTCTACTTTTATTTAATGTCCTAATCACACAATGGTTTTATAAGCACCTTGAGGGCAGAGATCATGTATAATGTTTGGCAATGTATATTAGAATAATTTTCTATTTTTTTAAGGTATAAAAATGGGATCAAGGACTAAGCCTCCAATGTGAATGATACAAGTTTGAACTTGAGCAATATAATTCAGTTGACATTAGATATCCTCTGGAAGGGTCCTGAGGAAGTAGAAATCAGAAAGAAAAATACCAGTGACCATGTTAACCTCCAACATCACCTCAACTCATCCAGCTGCCTTCTTATTGTTGGGAATCCCAGGCCTGGAGCACCTACATATCTGGATTTCCATTCCCTTCTGCTCAGCCTATACTCTAGCCCTGATTGGCAACTGCACCCTCCTCTTCATCATCCAGGTTGACGCAGCCCTCCATGAGCCCATGTACTTCTTTCTGGCCATGTTGGCAGCCATTGACCTGGTTCTTTCTTCTACAACACTTCCCAAAATGCTAGCTATTTTTTGGTTTAGAGAACGAGAGATCAACTTCTATGCCTGTCTGGTCCAGATGTTCTTTCTCCACTCCTTCTCCATCATGGAGTCAGCAGTGCTGCTGGCCATGGCCTTTGACCGCTATGTGGCCATCTGCAAGCCGCTGCACTATACCTCAGTCCTGACCGGGCCCCTAATCACCAAGATTGGCACGGCTGCTGTGATTCGGGCAGTGACACTAATGACTCCACTCCCCTTTCTGCTCAGACGCTTCCACTACTGCCGAAGCCCCAAGATTGCCCACTGCTACTGTGAGCACATGGCGGTGGTGAGACTGGCTTGTGGGGACACTCGCTTCAACAACATCTACGGCATTGCAGTGGCCATGGTTATAGTGGTGTTGGATCTTCTTTTTGTTACCTTGTCTTATATCTTCATCCTTCGTGCAGTCCTACAGCTTGCCTCTCAGGAGGCTCGCTACAAGGCCTTTGGAACATGTGTGTCTCATATAGGCGCCATCTTAGCCTTCTACACACCCGTTGTCATCTCCTCAGTCATGCACCGTGTGGCTCGCCGGGCTTCCCCACATGTGCACATTCTCCTGGCCAATTTCTATCTGCTCTTCCCACCCATGGTCAACCCCATTATCTATGGGGTCAAGACCAAGCAGATTCGTGAGAGAGTCTTTGGACTATTCCTGAGAAAGTACCCATAAATGGAGAGTGAAGGATTGGTGGAGAAAGAGTGGTGCAGGTTAAATGCTCAAATGGGGGTGTGGATACAACAGGAAGTGGAAGGCTCTCAGAGCATCTGTGTTTAGTTCTTTCATGGCATAATGAAAAAGGTAAATGATGTCCTGGAACTCACTGTATCACTAGTCTGATCCAGACTCAAGGGTATGAATCCTCTGGACTCAAAACTGTCAATGGTTTTGCTATTTTCTCAGAGTCCTCACTTCTATCATGAACTTGACAAAGGCTTAACCTACTCTCCGTTTAGTGATATCACCTAAAGACACAAAGGTACTGGCAAGTTTATTTACTTAAGAGGAGACTGAGAATCTGGATGTCTATTCTGAGTTTTTGGGAATTTGGTTATCTATTCACTCAGAACCTATGTGAGAACCAACATTTCATGTGATGCAGGAACACTTTCTTAGTCATTCTGCCAGGTGGTATCCAGCCTCTGACTAAACCCTCCCCATTTGGGGGAGCTTGTGCAGTTCTAAGTCGGCTGCTGCTGTAACAAATATTCAAAAATGTAGAGGTACACTTGGAGCTGGGAAATAGATAGACGCTGGAAAATTTTGGAAGCATATATTGGAAAATGCCTAGAGTGACTTGAAGAGATTTTTGGTTAAAAATATAAAGGCATTCTTGTTTGCATTCAGAAAGAAAACTATAGTGAAAGCTTCTATCTTTTTAGAAGATAACTATATAACCATGAACAAAATGTTGGTAGAACATGAACAATAAAGGCTCTTCTGATAAGGTCACATACAGAAAGAAGGAATGTGCTATTAGTAACTAGAGAAATATAATTCTTGTTATAAAATGGCAAAGAACTTGACTGAATTGTGTTCTAAAATTTTGCAGAAAGTAGAACTTGTAGTAAAAAGAGCAGAGAGAGAGAGAGAGAGATTGAAGAATGATTCATTAAACAAAAGGAACCAGAACTTAAAGATTTTGAAAATTCTTACCTTATCCAGATTGTAAAAAACACACAAGTGTATTCAGGAGAAAACATCTAAGGGTATGACTGGGCAACCATTTCCTTGAAAAGATTAGGCTTGTGACTTATTCATCCAAATTGCCATTTCAGGCCGAGTCAGGAATAGAAATAGAGTTACACAGGAAACACCTGTGGAGGACCCTTATCACTGATAGATTGGAGCCCCATGAGTTACATGGGAGGTCAACAGCATTTGTGAGAATTATGTACAAGAAGTTCTGCCCACTTGGACTTAAGGTGATGGAGATGAGGTGAAATGATGGAAAGCTGTTAGACTTCTGGGATCCTATAGAATTGGCCAATGGAGCTATTTGACTGAGCACGATCTCATTCTTCAAGAAAAGGGAAGAACACCAACATGGTTCAGAATATTTTGGGCTGCCATTGTCACTATGGGCCTAAAAAACACGGACCCAGGGGTTGGACTGTCTCTTCTCAGTTTCAAAGGGCAGGTCACATTCTTCCTTTCAGGAGGTCAGGCTGCCTCCACCAAGGACCAACGGTTAGAAATACCCACCCAGGACTGAGATGTCAGGACTACAGCCAGATTGGGAGGGGTTTGGAGCTGCCACATGACTATACTTCTTCAGGCCTACTAGACAGAGTACCGAGCCAAAAAAGATTATTTTAGAGCCTTAAAATCTAATGCAATTTGCCATGCTAGGTTTCATGTTTGTTTGTGACTCATAACACCATTTTAAATTTTATTTCTGACTTCTTCTTTTTGGAATGGGTGTGTCTATGCTATGCTTGTGACCCACTGTATTTTGGAAGCAGATAACTAAATTGGTTTCACAGGTTCACAGCTGAAGAGGAATTTTGCCTAAGGATGGCTCATGCTGCCACCAAAACGCAGGCCTGGCTGCCTGCTGCTATGAAAGCCAATACTTGAGTCAGATGCTGATGTATCGGAAAGTAGTTTATTTTCAGATGCCAGTCACCTGGAAGATGAGGGTCTCATGTGTTAAAGCACATCTCCTGGGAAGATGGGGGACTTGTTTTTCAAAGCCCATCTCCACATCTCAATGGAGGCAGAGGTTTTTATAAGGAGGGAGAGGGGAATAGAACAAAGAGATCAAAGATGGGGATTGAAAAGTTCTTTCTGTGAAGACTAGTTTGGTCCATTGCGATAAAACAAGTGTTGGTCCAGTGTGCGTCATCCTGGTTTAGTCATCCTGGATTCACATCATCCTGACTCTTCGTGATCCTGGCTCCATGTCATCCCAGCTTCATGTCATCCTGGTTTTACAGTTGAAAGCAAATCTCCCAGAGCTGGGATACCTAAAGGTCGGAGTCTGTATATTTTGAAGTTAGTTCGTGGGATTCTTATGCACACATGCTGTCTCTCTATTAGCTGCATATTTGTCAGAGTCAGCATTTACAGAAACAATCCCAAAAGAATGGTGGGGTCGGTTACAATTCCCCACTGTCACAATTTTCCACTGTTACAATGCCCGAGTCTCACCCATAAATGACTAAATGAGATCTAAATGGAATTTTATATTCAGGATTGAAGATGGAATGAGTTAAGACTTTGGAAGTTGTTAGGGTGGTGTGAATGTGTTTTTGTGTGAAGACATGCATTGTAGGAAGGCAAAAAGCAGATCTTTGTGGGCTGGACTGCAACCCCCCCACAGTTTATATATTGAAGTCATAACTCCCAGAACCTCCCATAGGGTCTTTAAGGAAGTCATTAAGTTAAAATGAGGTCATTAAGATAATTACGAATCCAAAATAAGTCCTTATAGGAAGATAAAATCTGGACACAGACACACAAGTGGGAAGACTTGTGAAGACCCAGGGAGAAGAATGCCATGTAGAAGCTAAGGAGAGGCGCCTCAGACAAATCCAATCCTGCTGGCACCTTAGGCTGGACTTGTAGCTTCCAAAATTGTGGAAAAAAAAAAAAAATGTCTCCCATTTAAGCCGCCTGGTTTGTGTTACTTCGTTATGGCAACCTAGTAAACTAGTGCCCCCTCTTACATTGTCTTCCCCAAATGCATTCCTGTACTTTTATCTTGTGACCCTTTGGTTTCTCAGAGAGTACTGTTTATGAATTATGTATATCTATTTCTTTTAAAAATTAAGTTTATCGGGGTGACATTGGTTAACAAAAGCATACAGGTTTGTATGTCTATTTCATTATCTATTGTAATCTCTCTCTCTCTCTCTCTTTATTTAATCCTCACCTGAGGACATGCTCATCGGTTGATTGTAGAGAGAGGGGAAGGGAGGAGAGAGAGAAACATCAATGTGAGAGAGAAACATTGATTGGTTTCCTCTCATATGTGCCCCGACCAGGGACCGAACACATAACCTAAGCCTGTGCTCTAATAAGGAATCCAGCAAGCCACCTTTTGATTTACAGGATGGCACTGCAACCAACTGAGCCACACCGGCCAGGGTTATCTGTCTATGTTTTTTAACTTTGAAAGAGACTGTCCAAGCCCATGTCAGATGGGATGTAGAAGGCAGAAAGGTGTTGAAAAAGGAAGGATGCAGTAAGAACTTTTTTGTCACTGTTCCCATCTCTGTTCTCATAATCTCTCTCTCTCTCTCTCTCTCTCTCTCTCTCTCTGTTACACACACACACACACACACACACACACACATAAAATGATACTTTACCTTTATATCCCCTATGGTCAAGGCCCCTTGTTTGCTTTTTGGAGCATAGTTAACACAAGTGAAAAGCTTCAAAATAGAAGCAAATACTAACAACACAAATAAACAGAGAGTGACATGTCTTTAAAGAACCTATTTTCTAAAACAAAGGTCTGTTTATCCTTCTGAGGACTCACACAAGGAATGTCACTGGCCTTCAGGTCATATCCATCCCCAGTGAAGGGGAAGTGGCTTTGTTTGTAAGTAAAGGTCCAATATCACAAGGATCCCACAAGTGGGTAATACATATAACATCAGAATAACCCAGAATAGTTACAAACAGTAAAAGGAAAGTTAACTTCTATATTTGCTTTTTTGAGTGCATAAAGTTGAAAAATATAGGCATATGATCTCACTTATACATGGAACCTAATCAACAAACAAGCAAGGAAAATATAACCAGATACACTGAAATAAAGAACAAACTGACAGTAACCAGAGGGGTGGGGGAGGACAATACAGGGGAAAGAAGGGGAAGGTCATCAAGGAACATGCATAAAGGACCCACGGACGAAACCAAAAGGGGGAAAGGTTGAGGGTAGGAGGTGGGGGAAAGTGCTGGCGGGAATATGGAGACAACTGTACTTGAACAACAATTTAAAAAATGCCAAAAAAAAAAAAAAAAAAAAGGATGGAAAAAGGCCACTGAACTCCAATAGTACCTTTTATCTGCATTTTGATGGTTAGTTGTCATGTGTATGACCTGTTGGACTTGCATAATTTAAAAGTTCTTAAGGGGTCTTGAAGATGATCAACCCCAACTACTCATTTTACAGATCAAGAAGCCACCAGTTTAATAGGAGAGCAGGCTGACTCCTAATACAGACCTTGCTCCATTACCTCCTCTCCTGCCAACAAACTTCTACAAAAACAAGGAGGACTGGTAATCAGTCACTCTGCTGCATAATATATCCAACCCAGTATGCACTTTCTCTTTTATTTTTAAAGTAAAAAGTAATATTGCTAATATAGAATTCTGGAAACTAGAAAAACTATTTTGTTTTTTTCCAAATATTTTCTTCCAGGTTTTTGGTGTACATGAGATCACATATTTATGGTATACTGAGTTTTTCTTTGAAATACTAAATCAAAACTCATTTTTAAACATTAAAGAATGTGCATGTTTTTAAGAAAAAAATATAAGCAGCCTATAAGCACATAAAATTTATTCTTATGCAAGGAAGATGAGATTATGAAAAATAAACTTGGTGCAGTAGTCTGGGCTTTATTACAATATTTCCAATCACCTATTCACTGGGAATTTTCAAAATTCCAACTGAGGCTGTATAGCTGCATACCATCCATGAATTAGCAGGAAGA